TTAGGTTTTTATTGAACATGCAGTATCCTTTCTGCGAAAGTGGGGATTTGATGGCCTCGATCTGGATTGGGAGTATCCGGGTAGAAAAGACAGAGGAGGCTCCGTCCCAGAAGACAAACAGAGGTTCACATATCTTTGTGAAGAGCTGTTGGATGAATTCAAAGCTGAAGCGGCCCAAACCGGCGAGCCTCGCCTTTTGCTGACAGCTGCTGTATCAGCTGGTAGGGACACCATCGAGAAAGCATACGAGATCAAGAAACTGGGTAAGGTGCTGGACATACTCAACCTAATGACCTATGACCTTCACGGCAGCTGGGACAAGGTGACGGGACACCACACAGCAATGGTCGATATTACAGGAGATGGTAAAGATTACTACGTGCCATACGCAGCCCAGTACTGGATAAAGGGAGGATTTCCACCTGAAAAAATTGCCCTTGGAATGGCGACGTATGGACGAGCGTTCGCCCTTAGAGATGCGAATAATAACGGCCTCGGCGCTCCTAAGGCCGAATGGACAAGTCCGCCTAAAGGTCAGTACACTCGTGAGCCTGGATTCCTGGCCTACTACGAGATCTGCAAAATGGGTTTGACTATTGTTACCGAAAATGCAGTGAAAGCTCCATATGGGTACAAAAGCAGAGGGTGGGTAGGCTTTGATGACCAACAGAGTCTGAAATACAAGATTGCAGAGGTGATAAAAAAGAAGAATCTCATGGGAGCGATGTTTTGGGCTCTTGATTTAGACGATTTTAGTGGCAAACATTGCGGTCAAGGCAGATATCCCCTGATAAACTCAGTGAAAAAGGCCCTGGAAACCAACGTACCACAACCACGTCCTAGTACTCCACCTTTTACCACTTCAGCACCAGGCCCTGAAACGACCACCGGACCCGTCCCTGTCACTACGACTGAACCTGGCCCTGTAACAACAGCGGTACCATGTCCTGTAACAACCTCGGGGCCGGTACCTTCAACCCAACGTCCAGTTTCACCAGGTCCCGGAAAAAATTGTGAGGCAATCCCACCACACAATACCGGACCGAACATGGATGAATGGTGCAAGTTAAACTGTGCAATGGGAAATTGTCCAGCGAGTCACTGCAAGTGCACCTAGAAAGAAGCGCGGTGACTGATTGATTGATTGATTGACTCTAGTGTGTTTGGTTTTTGTTAGGCCATGAAGTAGAAATAAAATAAGCGTTGCAACAAATTATAAACACTCTTGTAGATTGATTAAGGGGTATCTTTTTACGGTTTTAATTAGTGAGTAGAAAAGAGTTTCAAAAATTATGTTAATAATCAACGGGAAAGGTCAAGGGTACTGAATAAAACATAAACTTGCAATTGCACATACCTCTAAAACGCCAAGTATCCTCACATTTCCTTCCGAAACGGAAGTTTGTAAATCATACTCAAACGTCGCAGTTAATTATAATGCTTAACGACTCACATCTTTAGGGGTGAAAATATTGGGATCAAGGAACGGTTCAATACAAAAGGTCCATCACAATCTCTTTTATGTTAAGACGACTCGATGGGGTATTTTTCAGGGTCAATACCTCCCACGTTTGAGCAGAAACTAAGTCACCATTAACAAAGATTTGCAAAGGTTACCACCACAGCTGTATTGTAGATGAAGATGAAAATTGTTATGGTCAGTGTTACAATGACATCAGAGTTGTTATAGCAACGAAATGACGCAATTACTTATTTTACTTGCAGCCCTATTTCTCGGCACTGAAGTTCACAGGAGTTTTTTCTTCCAATAGTCCCCTCTATGCTTGTGAAGTTTAAGCAAAGAAAGCGTTATCGATATACTTTGGGATGAAGTGTTTATGGTAAGGAATACGGTAAAAAATGGACAATCTTGATGTTCGGCCGTTATACTGACGGAAACGAAGCGCTTTTGAAATGCAACTTTACCTCATTATAGTAGTCTCAATCTTTTTAAAAAAGTGTGTGAAAGATTATGGGTATAGCTTTGGCCGATTGCAAGAAAGAAGGATTTGATTAGTTGGTATTAAGGCGCTCTTGCTAGCGGTTTTGTAAACATTTTGGTCTACTTACACAAATAACTGAATAATTTTCAAACCGCTCGACATATTTCTTGCACTTGCACTGTCACTTTTCTTTACGATTTTTTTAATTCAGGGGGGGGGGGGGGGGGGGGGGGGGGGGGGGGGGCACGGATTTGCACCCCACCATAAAAATGTCTCCTAACCTGGATCTTTACTAATTCTTTCCAGCGGTATTGACGTATTTTGGCTAACGTTTCTTAGTCAAAAGTTGAAAAAACAGAGGAAGGGTCTTTTCGCCTGACATTTGTACAACAATATGAAAAAAAAAATCACTACAGTTGAACCTCCCCACAACGGCCACCTTCGGACAGAAGAAAGTGGCCTTTGTGGAGAGGTTTAAACAGGAGTCAACGTATGGACTGTCTGCCAAAAAAGTGGCCGTTGTAGAGAGGTGGCCGTTGTGAGGAAGTGATCGTTAATGGAGGTTCGACTGTAATAGGTCTACACAGGTAAGGCATAAAAACGTACCCCAAGTCATGTTTTCTTCCCCTTAAACTATTAGACCTTTATCTTTGTAAGTTGATATTAGAAAACAACCAATATCCTGCAGAGCTCTGCAAAGTAAGCCATAGCTTAACTGTATAACCAGAAGATACGAGGGATGAAAAAAGATTGTACGTTTCATTTTTCAATTCTGAACATGTTTCAGTTGTTTTAGAGACCTTATCCTTGCCTGCTAGTGTGATTCGCAAAAACCTTTAAATGATAGATCATGTTTTGTGTTCTGATTTTACATGGGACCTTACCCTTACAGTGGGCAAGACAAGTTAGGGGAGTTATCTAAACACAGGCTAAAACTATCAAATAAAACAATTTCAAACTCCTGTCTGATTTTTTAAAGACATCTTTACACACTTGCAGCTGAGTTTGTACCGCTATTAAAACAAAACACCATTTCTGTTCAAACATCATATGAAACCTTGGTTAAAGGAAGAACCATACGGGACCTTTGTATGCACAGCTGATTAAAAACGCGTAGCAGTTACTGCTTTATAAAGAAGTGCTCTAGCATCCCATCCATTTACATTGCTTTGGGTATTTTCGTTGATAATACCTTAAAATGCGTACGTTCATCATCCTACTCTTGGCGGGTTTTACCTCGTTCGCAAGTGCAAAGAAATTTGTACGAGTGTGCTACCATACAAACTGGTCTCAGTATCGCCCAGGTGCAGGCAAGTTCTGGCCTGAGAATATCGACCCCGATCTTTGCACACATTTGGTGTACTCTTTTGCCAAAATTAACAGGAACACCGACACGTTGGCCATGTACGAGTGGAATGATGACAAATTATACCCAAGGTTTAACGCACTCAAACAGAAAAATCCCAATTTGAAAACCCTCTTGGCCGTAGGAGGTTGGAACCACGAAAATGCAAACAGTCCATTTTCCAAGATGGTCCGCACCGCAGCTTCCAGAAGGGTAATGTTTCTAAATCGCTTTTTCCAACTTGAAAATGTATTCGTTGTGAAAAGTAAATCCTTTGTAAATGAGTACTTTACATAAGCTTGTAGGGTTGAAAGCTTTTAGTTATCATAAGCAGCCTGTGCGATTGATCCAGTAACTCCTTACGTGAATTTTCTCTTCCCTTTTATGCTTCATAAGTGTTTTGAGAACGACTTTTAACCGTTTAATGCCCAAAAATGGGGAACAATGTTCACCACGTCGCTCCTTTGATCTCTTTCTTTTTTAAAAGAAGATGATGCATTTACCGTTTTCAAGCTTTGCGGAACTTAAGAAAGCCTTGCCCAAAACTTGCGGAAAGAACTCCGCAGTAATCTCTTTCTTCACAAGAACTGACTAACAAGAGCAAATTCTTGTTATTTTTGAACACTTAGGTTTTTATTGAACATGCAGTATCCTTTCTGCGAAAGTGGGGATTTGATGGCCTCGATCTGGATTGGGAGTATCCGGGTAGAAAAGACAGAGGAGGATCCGTCCCAGAAGACAAACAGAGGTTCACATATCTTTGTGAAGAGCTGTTGGATGAATTCAAAGCTGAAGCGGCCCAAACCGGCGAGCCTCGCCTTTTGCTGACAGCTGCTGTATCAGCTGGTAGGGACACCATCGAGAAAGCATACGAGATCAAGAAACTGGGTAAGGTGCTGGACATACTCAACCTAATGACCTATGACCTTCACGGCAGCTGGGACAAGGTGACGGGACACCACACAGCAATGGTCGATATTACAGGAGATGGTAAAGATCACTACGTGCCATACGCAGCCCAGTACTGGATAAAGGGAGGATTTCCACCTGAAAAAATTGCCCTTGGAATGGCGACGTATGGACGAGCGTTCGCCCTTAGAGATGCGAATAATAACGGCCTCGGCGCTCCTAAGGCCGAATGGACAAGTCCGCCTAAAGGTCAGTACACTCGTGAGCCTGGATTCCTGGCCTACTACGAGATCTGCAAAATGGGTTTGACTATTGTTACCGAAAATGCAGTGAAAGCTCCATATGGGTACAAAAGCAGAGGGTGGGTAGGCTTTGATGACCAACAGAGTCTGAAATACAAGATTGCAGAGGTGATAAAAAAGAAGAATCTCATGGGAGCGATGTTTTGGGCTCTTGATTTAGACGATTTTAGTGGCAAACATTGCGGTCAAGGCAGATATCCCCTGATAAACTCAGTGAAAAAGGCCCTGGAAACCAACGTACCACAACCACGTCCAAGTACTCCACCTTTTACCACTTCAGCACCAGGCCCTGAAACGACCACCGGACCCGTCCCTGTCACTACGACTGAACCTGGCCCTGTAACAACAGCGGTACCATGTCCTGTAACAACCTCGGGGCCGGTACCTTCAACCCAACGTCCAGTTTCACCAGGTCCCGGAAAAAATTGTGAGGCAATCCCACCACACAATACCGGACCGAACATGGATGAATGGTGCAAGTTAAACTGTGCAATGGGAAATTGTCCAGCGAGTCACTGCAAGTGCACCTAGAAAGAAGCGCGGTGACTGATTGATTGATTGATTGACTCTAGTGTGTTTGGTTTTTGTTAGGCCATGAAGTAGAAATAAAATAAGCGTTGCAACAAATTATAAACACTCTTGTAGATTGATTAAGGGGTATCTTTTTACGGTTTTAATTAGTGAGTAGAAAAGAGTTTCAAAAATTATGTTAATAATCAACGGGAAAGGTCAAGGGTACTGAATAAAACATAAACTTGCAATTGCACATACCTCTAAAACGCCAAGTATCCTCACATTTCCTTCCGAAACGGAAGTTTGTAAATCATACTCAAACGTCGCAGTTAATTATAATGCTTAACGACTCACATCTTTAGGGGTGAAAATATTGGGATCAAGGAACGGTTCAATACAAAAGGTCCATCACAATCTCTTTTATGTTAAGACGACTCGATGGGGTATTTTTCAGGGTCAATACCTCCCACGTTTGAGCAGAAACTAAGTCACCATTAACAAAGATTTGCAAAGGTTACCACCACAGCTGTATTGTAGATGAAGATGAAAATTGTTATGGTCAGTGTTACAATGACATCAGAGTTGTTATAGCAACGAAATGACGCAATTACTTATTTTACTTGCAGCCCTATTTCTCGGCACTGAAGTTCACAGGAGTTTTTTCTTCCAATAGTCCCCTCTATGCTTGTGAAGTTTAAGCAAAGAAAGCGTTATCGATATACTTTGGGATGAAGTGTTTATGGTAAGGAATACGGTAAAAAATGGACAATCTTGATGTTCGGCCGTTATACTGACGGAAACGAAGCGCTTTTGAAATGCAACTTTACCTCATTATAGTAGTCTCAATCTTTTTAAAAAAGTGTGTGAAAGATTATGGGTATAGCTTTGGCCGATTGCAAGAAAGAAGGATTTGATTAGTTGGTATTAAGGCGCTCTTGCTAGCGGTTTTGTAAACATTTTGGTCTACTTACACAAATAACTGAATAATTTTCAAACCGCTCGACATATTTCTTGCACTTGCACTGTCACTTTTCTTTACGATTTTTTTAATTCTAGCGTCCGTCCGTCTGCTGTCGAAAGGTAAAACTCAAAAAGAATTTGTTCGATTGAAATAGTAGTTTAAAGGATGTTGTGTAAGTAATAAAGTGTCGGATAATTTTTTCGTTCTAAAATAGCTTTGATGCCTTGCATTTTTGCATGATCATCCAACTTTTTAAAGTCCTATTTCCAAATTGTTGTGTAATCGCAAACGAAAATGGCAAAAATCTCGATACGACTTGTAGTCCAGTGTAAAGGTCTATAGGCAAACTTTGAAGTGACACTGCGTGACAGGGCCACTGGCAACCACAGTTGCCGACAAGATTGAAAATACTACACAAAAACACGATTCTTAAAAAGTTCAACGTTTTAAAAACACCTTTTGTTGTTTTCCTGGAAAAATAATCGATTGTTCAAACCCTTGAAAACAAATAAGTCAGTTAGGGAGGAACTGAAAGTGGAAGATCAATGGTTAGGGGAGATCTTGATAAGGAAATAAAAGCTGAAGTATTTTGGCCATTTGAAAAGAAGTGAGGGCTTTGGAAAGATCATCTTAGAGGGAAAAATAGATGGGAAATGAGAGAGAGGAAGACCGAGAAGGCAGTGGGAAAGGGACATACGGAATGTTTTCGACAACAGAGGTCTATGGGGATAAGCAGTTTAAGTAGTAGCTCCGAAGGGGAGTGGGGCTGAGGAATACAAATATTTGAACCAAGCCATGTGAATTGTCAAATCCCCTGTTAATCGTAAAGCATATATCCCCCTGGGTAACGCAAGAAGCCTGAGTGAATGCGAATTAGCAGAATTTAATCATTGATATTTTATTCTACATCTCTGTCCCAATACCTTATACATTACATTATTGCACCTTAATCAGTAAAGCATTTTTGCTTTGTCTTAATCACATTTGCAGTGACTCGCAGGGCAATTTTCAATTGCACAATTTGAGCTGCACCATCCATCCATGCCTGGTTGTTGATCGAATGGTGGTATAGCTACGCAGGTACCAGATCCTGTGGGTTTGGTAGTTGGTGGTACCGGAGGTAACGTCGTTATAGGGCTGGGTTCAGTGGTTGTAGCACCAGGTGAAGGAGTCTGCACCGTTGGCCGAGGTGGTGGGGTGTAGCCTCCCAAGTACTTTTTCACGGCGTTTATCAACGTATAGTTTCCTTGACCACATTGCTTGCCACTGAAATCATCTAAATCTAGGGCCCAGAACATTGCACCTATGAGACCCTTTTTCTTGATAACTGCCGTTATCTTATAGTGCAGGCTATGCTTATCGTCAAANTAAAGTGTCGGATAATTTTTTCGTTCTAAAATAGCTTTGATGCCTTGCATTTTTGCATGATCATCCAACTTTTTAAAGTCCTATTTCCAAATTGTTGTGTAATCGCAAACGAAAATGGCAAAAATCTCGATACGACTTGTAGTCCAGTGTAAAGGTCTATAGGCAAACTTTGAAGTGACACTGCGTGACAGGGCCACTGGCAACCACAGTTGCCGACAAGATTGAAAATACTACACAAAAACACGATTCTTAAAAAGTTCAACGTTTTAAAAACACCTTTTGTTGTTTTCCTGGAAAAATAATCGATTGTTCAAACCCTTGAAAACAAATAAGTCAGTTAGGGAGGAACTGAAAGTGGAAGATCAATGGTTAGGGGAGATCTTGATAAGGAAATAAAAGCTGAAGTATTTTGGCCATTTGAAAAGAAGTGAGGGCTTTGGAAAGATCATCTTAGAGGGAAAAATAGATGGGAAATGAGAGAGAGGAAGACCGAGAAGGCAGTGGGAAAGGGACATACGGAATGTTTTCGACAACAGAGGTCTATGGGGATAAGCAGTTTAAGTAGTAGCTCCGAAGGGGAGTGGGGCTGAGGAATACAAATATTTGAACCAAGCCATGTGAATTGTCAAATCCCCTGTTAATCGTAAAGCATATATCCCCCTGGGTAACGCAAGAAGCCTGAGTGAATGCGAATTAGCAGAATTTAATCATTGATATTTTATTCTACATCTCTGTCCCAATACCTTATACATTACATTATTGCACCTTAATCAGTAAAGCATTTTTGCTTTGTCTTAATCACATTTGCAGTGACTCGCAGGGCAATTTTCAATTGCACAATTTGAGCTGCACCATCCATCCATGCCTGGTTGTTGATCGAATGGTGGTATAGCTACGCAGGTACCAGATCCTGTGGGTTTGGTAGTTGGTGGTACCGGAGGTAACGTCGTTATAGGGCTGGGTTCAGTGGTTGTAGCACCAGGTGAAGGAGTCTGCACCGTTGGCCGAGGTGGTGGGGTGTAGCCTCCCAAGTACTTTTTCACGGCGTTTATCAACGTATAGTTTCCTTGACCACATTGCTTGCCACTGAAATCATCTAAATCTAGGGCCCAGAACATTGCACCTATGAGACCCTTTTTCTTGATAACTGCCGTTATCTTATAGTGCAGGCTATGCTTATCGTCAAAGCCTACCCAGATGGTACCTTTGTGGCCGTATGGAGCCTTGACTCTATTGTCTGTGACAACATTCAAGCCAAGCTTGCAGATCTCGTAGTAGGCCAGGAATCCTGCTTCACGGGTGTACTGACCCTTGTGGGGCTTCTGCCAATCGTGCTTTGGGGCACCGAGACCACTGTCGCTGGGGTCTTTCAGGGCGAACGCTCGTCCATAAGTAGCCATACCGAGAGCGATCTTATTTGCAGGAAAACCTTTGTCAATCCAGTACTGGGCTGCGTAAGGCACGGTAAGCTTGTCATCTCCTACCATGGCTGTATGATGGCCGGTCACTTGGTCCCAGTTACCGTGAAGGTCATAGGTCATCAAATTGAGAATGTCAAGCAATGGACCTAATTTTGCGACCTCGTAGGCTTTGTCGATTGTTGCATAACCAGCTGCCACAGCAGCTGTTAGCAAAAGACGGGGCCTTCCAGTCTGCGCTGCCTCCGCTTTGAAGGCATCCAACAACTCCTGGCAGAGAACGGTGAATTTTTGTTTGTCTTCTGGCGGAGAGCCGCCTCGAACAGCGGGATATTCCCAGTCTAGATCGAGACCATCGAATCCCCAGGTTCGTAGCATCTCAATTGAAGAGTCAATAAATACCTTGAAAAGAATTGTGTTCACATTCATTAACAAAATATATAGCAAAAAGAAAGATGGACGGACCCAAAACAGTCTAAGAACTGCTCAAGTATAAGCTGTTAGAGAGATTCAAGAAACCACGCTAATGGCAGTAGGATTTCATGCCGCATAGAGCCATTCAGAGATGTTTTCTTTATCTAACTACATGTACTTGAAATACGTTAGAGATTTTTCTGGCTATTTTTCTTTACAGAAGAAATCGGTAGTAATCTAAGTTGCCCTCATCGCCGGCCCATCGGGAGAAATGGCCATTATTCTCGGGACACTTACTTACAGTCGGTGAAAGCTTCTAGGTCTTCCATACCACTTATTTTTATTCTAAAATGCTGAACAGGAGTCTTTTTCATTGGTTACCATGAACGCGCGACAGTATTCAGTAGGCGTGTGAAACTAATAAAAGCCGAATCTCTCTATTGTTTTCCCTTTTGTGAGGCCAGATCACACCTTTACGCATTTTAATTACTCCTTACAGATAACTGACTTAAAGATGAGTCGAAAATTTTAGTTTCGTTTCCTCGCATTAGAGTTTTGACGGAGCTCTAACTGATTACTCTATGAGTATGACGGCGGTAGAGAAAAAGTGGAGTCAAAAAAGAAGTCAGTTTGCCTTTAATAAATTACATGTGAGCGAAGATAACGCCCAACTAGAGTGACCAGTGCGAAGTTTAGAATCGGCCCTTTAGCATCAAAAGTTAGTCTCCTGAATCCAACCGTCAGACGCGCAATAAAGAGATTGAAGTAAAAAAAAAAAAAGGACGTTTAATATAGACAACGATAGCAGGAAACATTTATTGTAAAAGTTGTGCCGCGCTCTATAAAGAGAATTCGAGGTTCTATGTATATTTTCAGTCGAAAACAGAGTCGAAAATGGTTATATTCGCGCAAATGAAACTTATGAAATCAAGTTAGATGTTTTAGATTAAAATCAAACGGTAGGCTCCGTTATTTTAATGACATCACTGCGGCTAATTTCATAATCCCCGAGGACTGAAACAGTAGGGTTAAAATAGAAAATCAACGCTTTTTAGGGTCTTTTATTTATTTATTTTATTTATTTATTTAGTCACTCACAAAACCTTACACAACATGAACAAAAGGTGTTAATTAAATTATAAAACTAATGTGACAAGGAAGCCTAACGAAGCTTGAAGCTTATATTAATAGGTTTCCTTCAAC